AAAGAGCAATTTTTTGACTAAAAAGATATGTCTGCTTGCCAAGATACAATAAACATGGGGAATTCTGCAAGAAAGTCTTTTGTCTTCTTTACTCCATAACATGTAAGAATCTTTAGTGAGGCAGAAATTTACCTATATCTAGTATTTTAAAATCTGCTTAAATATGTTACCCTCAAAAGGGTTAAGAACAAAAAACCGTGTTCCTTGCTTGTGTTTGACACTCCTAGGATGTTCCATCATGTTGCATAGTTATGTTGCAATCAGCTTCTGCATATATAAGAAAGATGTATTCTTTATGGTTTTAACTGGTAAATCAGAAATTGATTTGGGTTAAATTTCCATTGAAAAATATAATAACATAAGTCCCTTCCTTTCAGCTCAACAACAAGTTCAAGAAAGCTACAGCTAAAACAAAAATGTGGCAGCACTACTGATTATTTCTATGCATCTGCACATACTGTTTCACAGATAAGTATATAAGAAGATTTTATGGCAACCTTTAGTGGATGTTTTCATCTCCAGTACAAAATATGTAGAAAGAACAAAAATCAATTACATAAAAAAATTTTCCTCTGAGCAAAACAGCAAAAGAAAAGCCTTACTAGTGCTAATAACACCTTTACCACTCAATGTCACTAGTAATTCAAAAATGTACCAATGCTTCAAAGAGCAGGAACATTGCCTCTGAAGAGAAACAAGATGCTTTTCTTGGAAGAAAGATCCAACAGACTTGTCTACACAGGCTAAAAGCTCTGCAGAAGTTTTCTCTGTTTCACATTGATATACCTTCGTAAATCAATGTAAAAATAAGGCCAGTATATGTCTCCCTCTAGTGCAATAAAAATGGTAAGGCACACATTATAATTTACGACAGCTTGGAAAAGGTTATAAAGAAAGTCATATATCTTTGTTGGTTGCAGAATCATTCTCACAAAAGTTAAATAAAAGGGATCAAAGAATAAAATATTACAGATAACAACAATTGCATAAAAATGCATTGGTGTAGAAATAAGATACTGAACAACATATGAAGTACAGAAATCAGAAAATCCTGGTTGAAAGGAACCAACCGCTTCTGCACACTGCAGGGTTACAGGCTGTTGCTATTAAAGCTAGAGGCCATAAAATACAGTTTTCCATTGTGTAGCTCTCTTAGTAGCACTGCAGGCCCAGGTTTCATGACCCGAGGAGTCTATAACTAAGAAATGTAAGTTTCAACATCATTAAGTGATTTATAGACCAACAGTAACGTTTTACATTTTATAACAGGGCAGTATCTAAGGTCTACAAAAGAGGTTACCGACATGGTGCCCATGGGCACCAAGGGGCCCCTCTAGGACCACACTAGGTGCCCTCAGCATCTTCTTAAAACAACACAATTCCCCAGTGGCAATTGCCTTTCTTTTTTAATCACACTTGCATTCATAGAGATTTCAAGATGTCAATATTGAAAATAAAATTAGGAATCAAAATGAGATGTTGATCTTTTGCTTTTTTACAGAGGCCTGTATAAAAAAACATCACAAAAATCTAACTACAAAAGCATAAGCAATGTTATGAGATGTCTTCATCTTAGTTAAAAATTAGATTTGAGTTTATGAAAACATAGTGTTTTTTTGTTTTTTCCATGGACAGGACCTTGTTAGTTATCAAAATTCCCCTTTTTATTAACAAAGTTTTCATTGTATATAAGAGAAGAAGTTTTTATGCGATATTTGGAGTTTTATCAAATGTAAGCCATAACGTTTAAAATGAAGTAACATTGATTTTAATATATATTTCTATATATATATATATATATATATATATATATATATATATATATATATATATATATATATATATATATATATATTTTTTTTTTAGGTTTCATTAATTATCTCCTGTTATAATCCCTACGATGAAGCTGTGCAGTGAAAGCAACTATCCCTGTATTTTACCTGGTATAAAACATAGATATCCATAATAAAGGCTAGATGTCTCGTCCGCGCTGCTGGCCAATGGGGGTCGACGTCCGCACGTGGCGGCCATCTTACCACAGGCAGCTCGCTCATTCGTAGCATTGTGTTTCAATGGGGCATGTACTGAATTAACCATAACTTCCTCAATTGTCTAACTATTCTCAAACTGTTTGGTTTGTTAAACAAAAGTCAGACATGTAGTTGTGATACTGCGCACTTAGGAATAATTATAACCATGGAATTTCATATGAAAAGAACACTGAATAGAACATACAGGTGCAATAAATATACACATGCACAAGGTATTTATGTTAAATCAATATATGCTATTAAAACTCAGTGTACAGAATGGCAACCATATATATATGATCCCAGAAATATATATATATATATAATGTATATATACAATATATATATATATATAATATATATATACACAATATATATATATATAATGTATATATACAATATATATATATATATAATGTATATATACAATATATATATATATATATATATATATATATATAATATATATATATATATTGTGTATATATATATATAATATATATATTGTGTATATATATATATATATAATATATATATATATATATAGTATATATATATAAAATACAGAATGGCAACCATATATATATGGTCCCAGAAATATATATATATATATATATATATATATATATATATATATATATATATATATATACAATATATATATATGTATATATACAATATATATATAATATATATATATATTGTGTATATATATATATATATATTGTGTATATATATATATATATATTGTATATATATATAAAATATATATATATATATAATATAAATAATATATATATATATTGTATATCTATATATTGTACATCTAGTTCCTACGCATCACTTCAATATTGTTCTCTTCCTTTTCTTCCTTTGGTTTTATTTTACTTTCTGCTGTTTTGTTTTCTGTGGCATCTTATGCTTGTACTTTTTAGCTCCCTGTTTTTAATGTTTTTATCTGCCTGTACAGTGTCCTTGGGTGTTGTGATAAGGCGCTTTCAAATAAAATGTATTATTATTATTATTATATAAAATATATATATATATATATATATTATAATACATATATATATATATATATATAAACACTTTTATTTGAGTGTGATTAATTATTTCACAGTCCTAATTTATTTATATTTACATAAATACTTTTATAATATAAATATTACTGTTATAATAAATTTGAAATACTGACAAAAAAGGCTTATTGTGTGGCAACCTCTCGGTGTAGAAGCATAATCCAGGTTTCAAATTAAAGGTTGCACTGTGAAGTTTCATGTAGACTATTCGGATTATATATCAGTAATTACACAAAAGTTCCTATTTTTAAACCATTATAAAAGTGAAATTTATTTGCTATTAAAATTGGTACAATAGTCCCCTTCACAAGTATATATAGATGTAGCATGTTGAAATCCCCACCTACACTACTGTGATGGTATACACATGGAAGACAGAGATGAAAAAATGACCCAAAAAACATAGCTTGGTTAATGCCCTTTGAAAAGGACGGTTTTATTGTGTTTCTGTCGCATGTTGTTGCTCTGTAAGCCAAGGTTGGTTATTTTGGCAATGTGGTGCAGCCTTAACTTAAAAAACAAGGACACAACCAATGTTAACAGCGTATGGTGGTGGCTGTCTATGCCATACTGCGTTTCTCCGATGTGCTCTCCAAGCACAAACACATCCTCTGACCCTATCCTCTTCCGTACAATGTACACGACCTCTAGCACTTTGATGGGCTGTGATCGTCTGGTACATGAGGTCTGACGAAGAACCCACTCTGCTGCCCTGACTACCATCACTGTGCCTTCTGATGGAATCACCCTCCATTGTTTTTTAACTTCAGCAGGTGGTAGTTCTGGTCCTTGATGGCAGATGCAGCATCTGTTACCAAGCTGGCACGGCAGACATCACAGGACAGCTTTTTCAGAGCCCGTCGCACAACAAATCCTGAAATAAGAGTTGTATTATTAAAATAATTTATAATAACCATGGGGAAATTAAGGGAACATTTATCTTTTTGGGCCATTGGGATATTGATTTCCCTCAGGTTTTGACTATTGGCAATCTTGTAATACTATTAAGTCATAGCCCCGCTGTTCCTGTGTACCAGAGCCTGTATTGTACATACATCCACTAATTAACTAACGATTATCCCAAAAACCAATCATAATTTCATATCTTACATGTGAAAGGTGATCCCACTGGCACTCGTTTTGACACTACGGCGATTGGAGCATCCGTAGGCAGCACAAAAGTCTGGCATCTTCCTATTAATAGACCCAGCAAATTCCTGTAACATAATGTAAGATGTTTTGACAAACCAAATCGATTGGAAATCATGCATTAATCATGTATAAATTCTGCCTCTTCCACTGATGCAAAGTTGCTGGTTAACGTTAGCAGCTAGCTAAACTGTAACGTTAGCTGCTAACTTACTAACTTTAGGTCTCACTTCGCAGCTTCTTGTTATTAGCCAGCTAACGTTAGGCTAATAATGAAAATCCAACAACACTCAGATTATTGTTATTAGCCAACTAATAGCTACAACCACATCCACAAAGATTGTAATTTACACTAAAGATTAATTGTCATACAATCGTTATTGATAACTTGCGCAAGTAACCGTGATGCACAACTATGCTGCACGATCAAGTCATTTTTCGACAAGAAAATCTGCAATTTCGACATGTTCAAGCATCAAGAATTATAGCCACGTTCATAACGTTTGTAAGAAACCAAACTGTTTGTAAATCCGTCAAGAATTCAATGAGATAAGAGTATTTGTGTCCGTGCTGATCACTCACCTTACATTAAGTACCACAGAGCACAACAGAAAGCCTGCCTGTGGTAAGATGGCCGCCCGGTGATGACGTTTGAGACTCCGCCGTAAGACATCTAGCCTTTATTATGGATATCTATGGTATAAAACATGTATTTTAAACCGTTCTTTATTTTGTCCGCCCGTCCCTGAATGCGTCATTACCTTCTGCGTCAGATTCATCATGGCGGCGCCCCGCATCACTGACGGAGTGGAGGCTGAAAGCACTGAAACCGGCTCAACACAGCCAAATTCCTCCTCTGGAGACTTCAAAAGACCTCAATTCGGGACACGATTCCTAACAGACCCCCGTCAGGTTTTCCAACACAACGCATGGTCAGTACCAAAGGTTCCAGCAGAACGGAAAGGGTTCATCAGCATCAGTTACTTGGATGAGACATTATTTCATTATTTATAATGTTTAATTTAGAATTTATTCTGCTTATATAATTGCAGCGGTGTTTTTGTTATTTTAATATATGGAGGTCAGTCAGAAATACACGCATTATCACGCCGACGTTTGGGCTCGGGTAAAAGAATAATAGATTTGTCCATATTTTGTGCATTACGGTAAAGGGGTACGGGTGCCGCTAAAAGACAGAAAAAACGTATTTCTAAACCGCGCAGCCACATGAGCACAGTTAAAGAATATCGTAATTATTATGCTGTTTAGCAAGTAACTTCAAAAGCTTAGCTATTAGATATCAATGTAATTCTACAACATTCAATTATTTTTACTGGGGTTTAAACAATTAGCATAATTTTGTTATTAAACTGTTTTTTAATATAATATTTGTCAACTGTTTAAGTCATCGATTAATTGACTGTAAAACTTGACTTTTGCCAAAAGAACAAACAGCAAAACTTAATAAATTGTTTGTTTATTTTGCATCCTTATTTTGCATATGTGTCTGTAGATGTGACCCATCCAGAGCCTCTTGTTGTAGCATTAAAAGGCAGTTTTCAACTGGTCCAAGCCCTCTCTCTGAAAAAAATTTAAAAACACAATTTTCTTGAAATCCTGAAAAGCCCAGATTTTTTTTATCTGCTTTTTCATTGAACAAAAAATATTAACAGCAAAATAATCCATAGTTTCAACCCTGTTCAGCCTTGCAGTTATATTTGGGTGCTTTGTTTATTTCTAATGAAGTGGATCATTAGGATAGGTCCAATAAAATATTTATTCATCAAATCATTTCATTTTCTGTTCCTTTACTGTTGATATTGGTAAGCATGTCTACAGCCACTGGTTTGTTGTTAACAGCTTTAGCTACATTTTCCTTTAAATTTGAAATAGGCAATAAGCCTGATTTTAAAGATATAAATTGAGCCATTCATTGAAATTTAACAGGTAATAAAGATCAGATCTTTCTCCTTATTTGAAGTTCTGGCAATCAGGAGTCCGTGAATTAGGATTTAAAAAGTATAAACTAAGAACTTAAATTTTACTTTTGAATGAAAAAAAGCTATCACTGCTATTTCCAGATTCTGTCAGATCTAGAAAACAAAGAAAACTTTTACGTAACTTACTCTTCACCTATCCTGGATGAGATTGGTCCTAACTCAATTTATTGGTAAATGACATGACATTTTCTTCAATCTGTGGTAACTTGTGTCCATTTCACACTGGCTGAGAAACCTGTTTAAACCCGGGAACAGTCGGCAAGCGACCCGGATTAAAATCACCTTCAAACGGTTCGACTCTGATGATATTGTGAACTTTCCAGGGACAATGTGGAGTGGACCGAGGAACAGGAAAAAGCTGCAAAGAAGAAAGTTTCAGAAAACAATCATCCTTTGCCTCCAGAGAAACAAGGTTGGGTTTTATTCCTAAGTACATCTCACACCGAGTCGCTACAGGTGTTGGTTATGTATTCATTTTATGACACTCTATCAGTGTGCTAGAATTATATCAGAGTTGTTGAATATTGTTATATTTGCCTAAGAGAAGTTAACGCATTTTGTTGTGTGTTTATTATTTTATTTCAGTACTATTTCTTTTTCATTTTACTTCCAGAGGAATACGACAATCGGGCAAATGAATACTGGAATGAATTCTACACGATACACGAGAATCGTTTCTTCAAAGACCGTCACTGGCTCTTCACAGAGTTTCCAGAGCTGGCCCCTCAGTGTAATACAAACCATGAATCTCATCCAGACACTTCGAGTTCTGACATCAACCAGCAGAATGGATGCGATAAAAAACAAAGCAGGGATTTTGCGTCTTCGTCTGGCGACAACTGTGACTTTCCAGGCTCCTCTGCTACATATCGCATCCTAGAGGTTAGAGATTCTTCTAGGACCAAGATGGAGATGTTTTTACCACATCATGACATTTTACTTAAGTAGGAGTAGGGATACTTAATGATAATCATTACTCAATTAAATGGAAACCTCATGATGCAGTAAAACTAAAGTAATTTTTGTAACCGTTACTTAACTAAATGTAACTAGTTAGCACCCACCTCTGGTTCACCGACACCATCTATCATATCTTAATAAACTAGATATTTTCTGTATAGAATGAGTAAGTCTCTAAATGTGCTTAAATTCAAATCTTACAGATGATGAACTTAGGAGGCTGGGATATTTATGCACTTTTTTAAAAAGCCATGCATATTTTTTTCCATGTCACAGTTATGCACTACTTTTTGTTGGTCTATCACCTACAATCTCTATAATATGCGCAAGCTTTGATTTTGCATGTAGCTATTCATATCTGCAGCCTTGTACATTCATCTTTTATCATGGTAGCAGCTTTGCATACTGAAAATTGTCAAAAATCCAGTCTCTTTTTTTTCTTTTCTAGAGGAATGAACAGCAGTCAATTTTAAGAAATTCACAAGTAGGGCTGGGCAATTAATTGTATTTGCAAGATAATTTCAATTTAGCAAGATACAGTTTTCAAACCAAACAGGCACCCAATTTTAGTGATATTAAATTTAACAAGAGAAAGATAAATCAAATACAGTTCTCCATCCAGTCTTTTAGGTGGTGATAAAATGCTCAAAGCTGGTTTGCCACCGCAAAAAAGCAAAAAAGAGATAGTTGCAGCATCTCCATGCATGATTCTTTACATTTTTGCAAAATCTATGTCTAGGGAATGAGATAGATTAGTTTTATAGTGCCGCGCGTGACGTTCACATTCAAATGAGCACGAAAGATGCAGTCAAGATGACTTCAAGCCTGACAGCTGCAAATATAGCCAAAAGGTTGACCGAAGACATTAACAAATGGGGGCTGAACAGCAAACACGCTGTAGTTGTTACAGACAATGCTGCAAATATGGTTTTTGCAGTGGAGATAATGCAGCTCATGCATGTTTGCTGTGTCTCCACTGTGTCACATCTGCTTGCTCATGTGAGGCTTTTTCTCTTTTCACATACAAGTGTGCATTTTTGAGACAGTTTTGTTCACATCTCAAGTTTAAACTATATGATTTTCAAGTTTGCACTTTGTTTAATGTGACAGGAAAAGATAAGATACATGAGGATTTTGAAACACAGTTAAACCACTTTCAGAACTGTAAAAAAAGATTGAATTTGAAATTAATCGATTTAGAACTGAATGAATCAAAATCGAATCGCTTCAGAACTTTGGCAAAAATACCCAGCCCTACTTATTAGTGTATTTTTATTGTTTAAATATAATAATATTGTAATATTCTGCTTCTCTTTCTACATGGGAACAAAGATGCATGGCATCAATTACTACAAATGTGTTTTCAATTTTTCTAAAGACCTGGTGGACTTTTAGCCTGACGTAGTCCGACTCAATTCTAGTCAGAATATGAGTCTGATACTGCTCCATAGAGCTGTGATTATGGGGCGTGTTTTGAACGGACCAGGAAAAAAAAGGCCTCTGCACTCAATTGGATAGACCTACAACCAATAAGAGCAACGGAGTGCGTGACGTATGTTAAGCGACGCATAGTTGTTGTCCACAAAAATCAAAGCGTGCAGTATCACGCCTAGAATAAGAAGATGAGACTTGATCGCGTTTCTCTGTTCCTCTTTTAAAATTAATTTGCTGTCGATATCTTCTAGAACAGACCTAATAGCAGAATCTACTCACCCAAACTCTCCAGCGGCAGCCATTATTGTTGTCACCCAAGCGCGCTTTGGTCACGTGGTTGATTACGTTACACTTGATCATCTGTCCATCATCGTATAAAGCCCGCCCTGACAATTTGATTGGATCGCCTGACAGTGGGCGATAACACTCGCGCTACTATGGAGCAGAGCCAGACCGAACTTCCCCGAACTCAAACCTTGTGGGCGGGACTAAGTTCTGACTGGCACCCAGGCTAGTGGACTTTGCCAAGGAGTTAAAAACTGCTTTCACAATAAATGTTTCTGCAGGGTAAGGTTAATATTGCTCTAAAGCATAATGACCAAATCATATAGCTATAAATAAAATTATAATCCAACTGAAAGTTAGTTTTTTTTTTTTTACCATTCATTTATTGTTCTCTGTGTGTATATATTTTACAAAATGCAACATTTTTTTTCAAATGTAGCATTAACCTAATTTCTGTTTAGGTTGGTTGTGGTGTGGGGAATACTGTTTTCCCAATACTCAAGACAAACAAGTAAGCTCATTCAAAAAAAAAAAGAGAAAATGTTTTCAAAAAATCATCCTTCTCCTGTTGTGAAGTTTATCTAACCTCAACTTGGCCTTTTGTTGCAGTGATTCTGGACTTTTTGTTTACTGCTGTGATTTCTCCAGCACCGCTGTGGAATTGGTGAAGGTTAGAAGTTTGGATTCAAAAGAATATTTTCTTTTTTCTGACCTCTTAATAAATAAATAAATGAAATTTTCTCTTCTTTATCAACAGACTAATCCAGAGTATGACCTGAACCGCTGCTTTGCCTTTGTTCACGACTTGAGCGATGCTGAGGCTAGTTTCCCTTTCCCTGATGGAACTCTTGATGTTATCGTCTTGATCTTTGTGCTATCAGCCCTGCATCCAGACAAGTATGAAAGCATATTGCTTTGCCTCCTTTTGTCCTTTCATTTATGCGCACATATTGTAAGATCTGATGTTTTCTAGACATTGTGTAAGAGTTTTTCCTCCATCTCAGGATGCAGGCCTCCATCAGTAGATTAGCACGTCTCCTGAAGCCAGGTGGAGTGATGCTGCTCAGGGACTATGGGCGCTATGATATGGCACAGCTGCGCTTCAAGAAGGGTAAGTGGAGCTTTTTCAGGCTTCAACATATCCTTACTTGCAGCATATTTTTCTTAAAACTACTGTAAAGACTTTGCTTTAAAATCTCTCGAACTAATGTAACAAATTCTCAGTGATCAATATTTTAGAATGCCACTATCGATCCATTCATGGCTTCTGTTCATTCTTCATTAAACATAACCTTTGCCAACTAACAGTGTATTTTCTCATTTTTGGGATATGAAGGCATTGCAAATTCCCAGAAGGATTCTGTACTGTAGATCTGGCCTGGGGCCTCATCTGAGGAGAAAAACTAAAAGTGTTGATTATATTTCTACAAAATCTCTGTGTCATTTATTTTTCAAATTGAAACTAACAATGAAAATATGAGAAACAACTGTGGTTTTTTTTTCATTGTCTTGTTTTTTTTTTTTTTTTCATTCTATAAAATAATATGGTAAAAAATGGAGAGCAGTTCTTTTTTAATTCAACATTTCCCAAGTACTTTAAACATGAAGTGAACCGATAACGAGCAAACAAATTAGTCTTTTAAATTTCTAAACTGGGAGGATTTGGAATTGCAGAGTAGATCATGCACCATAACAGCTGACTTTCATTATTAAATATAGTTGGCTTACAGGTGTCCAGCTGATGTAATTTATGATGGTGTTCATTAAGACAAGATGCCATAAGTGTGCAAAATAAAAAAACATTATAATTAATATATCCCACATTTATTTTATATATTTCATGTGAGAATTGCATAAAACATAAGAGGAACTGTTCTCCATCTTTCTATACTTTATAAAATGAAATTTTAAACTATTTCTTGAATTTTCATTGCTGGTTTCAGATTGAAAAATGCATGAATGTATGAAGTAAGCCTAAAAAGCATTAATTGGATTAATTGTGATTTTTACATTTTTGAAAAAAATTGTCAACTAATTTTAATTAACTGGAGTATAGAGACTAGCTGACAGAGCAACCCACTCAGAGCAGCAGTAACATGTCGAATTTAAGATAGAAAAACCTTATTTGTCCATCACTATGCTCTGTCCAGAACTCCTCAAGTTGAATAGCTCTAGTTTTACCTGGTTTAAATACTCTAAAAAAAAAATCTTCTCTTAAGGAATAATTTCCTTAAGAAATAATCATGAGTTGCTGCCCTAGTATGATTAACAGACACTAAGCACGTCAAAAAACGAGTTTTTATGTTTTCTATTTTGCCGTTATTGTATTTAACTGCAAGAATAGCCTAACAAGAAAATATTTTCTCAGAGATGTTATATACGCTCTTAGCTTTCAGTTTATAGTGTTACATTTATTATTCAAATGAGTTAGTCTGTATTCTCTAAGTGGATCACTGAGATGTTAACTTGTTGACAGAATTAGCATCCCTGAGCCAGTAGCATGCATACATAGAAGAAGATGGAGGTTACGGTACACAATATGATTAAGAATTGACTTAAGAGCAGCAAAAAACATAACAAAAAACCAGCATATTGTCTCATCTAGCAGGGTGGACTAAATTATTTTTTTGCTTGTTTTTTAATCTGTCCAGTTTTGATATAGCTTCGTTGGGAGTTCAAAACTTTTTTGTTTTTGCTCGTTGTTTATTTCGTAAACTAACAGACCAATTGGTAATCATTTACTTTAATATATATACATTTTTATTTTATTGTTGGTTTCAGAATCGGATTACTTTATTAATCCCTTGCGGGACATTATTTTCTAGCAGTGAAAGTTTTTACAGAAGAGAGAAAAATTGTAAGTGAAATAGAGCAAAATAAAATATAATCGGACAGAATTAAATTGCAACAAAGTAAAATTGCACCCCTCCCCTATAAATAGTGATACAAATAAAATAAGGATCTCAGTATATACACTCAGAATTTACAATTTACACTGCTGCTCAGTAACTAAATTACTATTATTGGACATGACCGTGTTATTGCGCAAAGTGAAGTAATGAAGAGAGATGAATTATACAGATAAATGGCCACAGTCAGGAATGAGTTCCTGTGGCGCTCTGGTGCAGCGTGATGAAATGAGTCTCTGACTGAAGGTGCTTCTGTGGGTGACCAGCTCAACATGAAGAGGATCTGCAGAATTGTCTAGCATGGATTTTACCCTGGCCAACATTCTTCTATCTGATACTGCAGTTCGAGAGTCCAGCTCCTCTATAACACTGACTGTTCTTGCGGATGAGTTTGTTAGTCTGTTGGCGTCCTTCACCTTCAGTTTGATGCCCCAGCATGCAACAGCATAAAGGATGGCACCGGCAACAACAGACTTATAAAACATCCGCAGCATTGTCCAGCAAATGTTGAAGGACTCCAGCTGCCTCAGAAAATAGAGATGGCTCTGGGCCTTCCTTTAGAGGGCATTTGTGTTTTTAGTCCAGTCCAGTTTGACAACTTTCATTCATTTTAGATTAGTTTTTAGAATATTGCCTCCTAACAGACTTGTTCCGGCTCCAGCTTTCAGTGTCGTTGTGTCCTTGAGCAAGACACTTCACCTGCATTGTCTACTGATGGTGATCAGAGGGCCCGGTCTGCCAGTGTACGGCAGCCCCGCTTCTGTCAGTGAGCCCCACGGCAGCTGAGAAGCAGCTGTGGCTACAGTGTAGCTTGCCACCATCAGCGTGTGAGAATCGGTGAATGACTGAATGTAGTGTAAAGTGCTTCGGTCAAGTCTCCTGACTTGAAAAAAGCTCTATATAAGTACAGGCCGTTTACTATTTCATTTTGTTAACATTAAAGGACAAAGATCAAAATGTCTGCTTAAAATTTCTGAGCAAAATATCCACGACTACATTTAATAGAATTCGTCCATTTATTGCATAGACCTGCTTATCATTGCAGCCAAACCTTTGAATTTTATTTGGCCATTCAGTGTCTTGAATAATAGACAAACTGTTTTATTTTGTGTGTTTGTATATTTTTTCAGGTAGATGTCTCTCAGAAAATTTTTATGTCAGAGGGGATGGAACACGAGTGTATTTCTTTACACAGGGTAAATAATATTTTTTTTTTTTTACTTTTTTTATATTCTCCTGTACTGATTCATTCTTTCTTCACAAACATAAACAAATGTTTTTGTTTCAGATGAGCTTCATGAGCTGTTCACCGCAGCTGGGCTTGAAAAAGTGCAGAACCTTGTGGACAGGCGTCTCCAGGTGAACAGAGGGAAACAGCTCACCATGTACAGGGTTTGGATCCAGTGCAAGTACTGCAAGGCTTCATGAGACACGAGGAAGATTCCCACCCAAAGTGACAAAGATTGTGGGGTTTTTCCACAAGACAAGACAAGAGCAATCGGATGTTGAAAGATTTTTTTATTTTTTCTTACTGGGTGCCATAATATTTTTGGACCTTTTTTTTTTTTTTTTTTTTTTGCACATTAATTTGGAGAACAAGTCTCAATGGCCATATATATGACTTTTCTGCTAATGAATTGTGTAATCTGAAATAAGGACTTATAGCCCCTTTAAATGACTATTTTCTGTAGGATATTGGGTTTTAATCCACAGGTTTTCAAAATAAATGATTTTTATGACCTTTTTGTACAATTAGTTCTGAAAAAACATGCACATTAAAATGGAATGATATTAAGTCTTTGCAATATGATCAGGATGAGAACTTTCTGATGAATTTATGGCTTCATGGGGGTGGTCACTGTTAAATTTCATTGTGTGGAGAGGATTTTCTTTATTGGTCCAGACAACAGATTTGGGGGGGCAGGCGTGGACTGAAGGAAGGTGAAACTACTTAAAGATCTCACGAGAAAATGTGAGATTTTCCTGATTATTGTTTACATTGCAAAAACATGATCCGGATTCAGCTGAAACGATTCCAAAGGCACCACTTCCGAAATCGGATGTCTTTTTGATCCTTTTTGCACCTCAGACGAAAATTGGTGTCGGAACTTTGTTTTGGTTTAGCTGCAAAGCCAAGACCCTAAATTCACCGCAGCACAGGGGGAGATAGATACAGGGGGTGGGGGGGAAACTACTCGAGCTCAAAGACATTATTTATACCTGCTGAAAAGCGCATATTCTCCAGGGTCGCCATTGTGTGGAGCGAGATACGCCAGACCACAGTGCGGTATGGCCCTCGGAGCGGGGGATATGATGGGGATCCCCGCTTAAAAAAAAGCGCATAAAGGCGGGTTTGGGAGACCCGGAGTTCAGTCGAGGCCTCTGAGGGAATCCTCCGTGGTCTACCTCAAGCTGCGCAGCGGGCGTCCGCGCTTCGATCGTCAACAACCAGCACGCGAGGGACGAGGCTTTGGATGCGGCCTAGCCTGGGAGGGTCTACCTAACACCGGGGAGAAAACACAGACGGTTTCAGCGACAACTCCCCCAGAAAACGGAGCAAATCGAGACTGCAGTAAGTATCCGGAGGGGGTTTGTGGAACAAAACTATTTCGTCTGAAGGATGTTGCTTCAGTCAGCCCAGGTATCGTGGCAGTTGATGCTGAATTGAGGGTAAACCTAAAGCCTAACAGTCATTTCTGACAAGAAAATAATATGAAGTCTCGTGTTATATATATTACCTTAATTATTTCTAATACTTCTCAATAAAACGTTAATTGTTTTGGTCTATCCATTTAAAGATGGAATAACATTAGCTAACTGTTAGCCGCTTAATTGCTAACTGATGGCCAACATCGGTAGCTTTCAGCTCGTTTACTCAAAGTTAGCTAACGGCTAACTTACTAATTGTGTTCATAATTAGTTCGCTACTTATTTCGTTGCAAGTTTTAAAACGTTAGTGTTCAATTCTGCAACATGTATACATTAAAGTCAGTTTGTTATAAATGCAAGCCGTTGGTAATAAACGTGCATATTAGCCAGTTGGGCGTTTGATTTTAAAACGTCCTACCGGTCAGCAAACTGACCATTTATTGTGGCTATTTACCCTTTGCCACGGGCAGCCCCCCATTATTGACCCTTTGCAACAACAGCCCCTTTAAACTTAGGTCTGTCTTGTAAAGTAAAGGCGTTATCAAATCATGCCAATGACTTTACACATCTGCCTTCCGTTTATGATGCATTTTAAATACCAGTATGTGCTTATAGTTGAGCACTACATGCATACTGTTTTGTTTTTTTGTTTTTTTTGTTTTTTTGCTTATTGTGTTATTTTTAGTGAATTTTAATTTGTAGATATACATTGAAAACATAGTAAAACTTAGTGATGACTCAGAGGAGGAATTTTCCACATTCATATAGCTAAAAACAGCCATGACTCATCACAACTGGTGTCTTTTGCACCAGTCATTCTATTATCTGGGTATTCCAGGCTCTATCATGCTTTTCCTTAAGTTGCGCACTATTTCCACAGCTATGATGGAAGAACTGCACAGCCTGGACCCCCGGAGACAGGAGCTGTTGGAGGCACGCTTTACTGGGGTTGGAGTGAGTAAGGTTTGTATACACCACTTGTCACAGGGGTTGAGATGGGGGAATATGGAATGCGAGTGCTAATAGTCACAGATGCACATGATTGTGGATGGTTGTGAATCACTATCCTTTTTTTGTTTCATTTTCACCTCGAGTATCAATCAGCCTTTCAGCCTGAGCAAGTTTGGGCTCCTGCCTTTTCTTTGTCTGTCGCTGGAGAAGGGTGAGCCACGTCTGTGTTTTTTTGGCTGCTAGGACATGGCATCGCTCCCTGGCTCGTGATGTAGCGACTGTATATCTGAGCAAACTGCTCCTGCCAAAATGGGCAGCAGACAGGATGAGGTTGGTAGGGCACAGAGCAAGAATGTGGAAATAGTTTTTGACCAGGTATCTTAAGAATTTGTTCTTTTTTTGTGGTTTTTATACTCACAGCTTTGGAATATAGATGAAGCTGTCAGTCTTCTTGGAATAGTTGGGGAGCTGGAGTTGGTGCCAAGAGCAGGCCCTGTGCCAACCATAGGCAAAGCTGCTCTAAGAGCATGGCATGGCTGCTGTCGCAGAGAAAATGGCGACACTTGTCAAGGCACTATGCCACAATTTGCTTGTACCTAAAAGATGGGTGAGAGTAAAGTCGTATGGTTTATTGATTCACCGGGTTCTTCAGTTATATTTCCTCGTTCACCTTTGATTCCTCTTTGGCACTGCGGCACTTTGTGTAAAACAGAGTCAGCAGAAAAGTAAAAGATCCTTCAAGGACAAAGGGATGTAACACCTTTTGATAAATGGACAGATGTGGCCTTTAATAGTTGCTTATTGCATCCCCAAGCATCCAGAGTAGTTTTCTTTTTTTTTGTTAGCTTTTAGTTTGAAAGTGAAACACCTGCTGAGTAGATTTCTGCAGAGTGGAAAAGGCTGATTGAAACTGCGGTGGAACGGAGGAAAAATGGACGACATTATCGGAAAAAGGTGGCAGATGGAGAGAGGAATGGATCCCCAGCAGCCTGCCCGATATTCCTCCATTTTAGGAGGGTTCAGTGAGGGAGCTCTAGTGTGCTCAGAATGACTAAGTGGCTCTGTCTGATTGGCCAGTGCCTGCTGAATTTTGATGTGAATCATTTGATTGACAGGCATCACCTAGGGAACCAACATTAGTACTGATGCAGGTCTCTCTGCACGCTTATGCTTTATGGTGATGGTGTGTGCCCAACCCTCCATCTCCATTCCTGTTTCTCAGCTTTTAAAGCTTATGTTTTTGTCCTTATTTACCCACTGTTTCCTACCTGTTGGATGTTTTAAAACATTTACATTTCTTTGTGTGTATTTAAGCCTCATTTTTTTATTTATTTATTTATTTTTTTTGTCAACAGGGCTCAGGTCAGAGTCAGAATGAGTCATCCAATCAGAGTCTGTGCAGTTTGGGTTCACTTAGTGACAAAGAGCTGGAGGTTAGTCTTATCTCTTCCATATTGATTATTTGTGCACATCCTCCCAGTTAGTCCACTTCCCACTCACTTGATTCATACCACTTTCTTCAGACACCAGAGAAAAAAGCAAACGAGCAGAGAGTTAGAAAACGTAAAGCAGACTACTTTGACAGCAGTCAAGGTAAGTTAATCCTCTTTTGAGCCTTTCATCATTTATTTTTTTATTTTTAAACCCCTTCTCTTTTATAGGCAAAGCAGGAGCAAGGGGGCTTAAAATTAGCGATTATTTTGAGGTGAGTACTCCCATCACATTAACTTCTAGCACTTAAACTTTTCATCCCTTCTTTCTAACACTTTCTTTACTTGTCTTTCCATTTATCTGCATTCCTCTCTCCCTCGTCTGTCAGTTTGCGGGAGTTAGCGGTCCTGGTACCAGCCCTGCTAGGGGAATTCCCCCAGTGGTACGCTCTTCCCCACAACACTCCCTATCCAACCCTCCCGTCACGGTGAGCCCTGCTGTGCTCTGCAGTGTTTCTCGCCTTTTCATTTCACTAAACTCCTCCTTGTCATCCTATTTATTCCATACTTGTTACTAACACCAACTGGAAGGTTTGAGGAGATTGGTGCACATTCTAGGACTGATCTTATGTTTGGTTGATTTGAAATCTTAACAGAATAATATTTTTGATGCAAATGTACTCATCCAAACAAAGTCGGTGGCAAAAAACCCCAGCAAGTTTCATTGTTCTCTCGGATTACTTTTATTGTTAATCATGATTTGAAATTATATGATGAAGATTGATGAATATTGTGTTTTTCAGGTGCAGCAAGGAAGCCCTTCATCCATCAGCTCGGTCAATGCAGAGCTCTCCACGTGTGCAATGAAGCCTGTCGTTCTTCACATGCTCCACAAAGCTACGCAGGTACACGACGCCGAACGATTTGTTGACTGCCTTTTCTACTAATTAACTAGGTTATGATTTGGGAGAAATAGTGTTGTTGGTGTATGCATTTTCTTTAAGGAATAATTACCTCTTTTTGTGACAAAGCAGATGAGTTTAGAAGGTACCCCAAATAATTTGAAGACTATATTATTTTGGGTGCTCAATTCATCCGTTCAAAATAACTTGACCTGAATTAGATTTAATGACTTTATTTTTTGTTTCAAAATATACATCCTAACTCTGGCTGTTCTTTAAAGGTTTTGCTTGCATCTACTCGTTCTTAAGAAGCCTGAGGAAGTATGAAGTTTATTCTTATCATTTTCGAATTGGGGCTAAGGTTCTTGACAGGGTTTGAGTTGGTTGCCTTTAAGTGTTTATATTGTTAGAGGTTTTCTGAAACTGGACCATCTATTTGGAAAAATCTTTAAATTATTTTGAAATAGAAGATTTTTACAAACCTGAATTTGGCTCTGCTTAAAAGATGACCAAACAGCCCATTGTTGCATCTTTCGCAACCCGTAATGGGTTATCCTCCTGGACTGGCCCCCCATGGCTAACTCCTCTGCCTGATGCAACCACCCCCCCCCCCCCCCCCCCCCCCCCCCCCGGTTCACTGTGGGGAACGTATGCAGGCTGATGTGGACATGAAGCGTTGGTCTCCTTTTAAACAAAGCATTTTGCATGAAGGCTAAAATAGTGACATTTTGGTCACCTCTGACCAGAGAGCCTCACTTTTACGTGTTTGCTGTGTCTCTGTATGGCTTGTGGTAAACTACACACAAGACGTTTGACTCTTAAGGGCTTATTTCTCGTCATTGTCGCATAGAGGATTCATAGACGGCATGAGTCGCTGCTGAGCTGCAGGTTTCCACTTGTTCCATTTTCAGATGATGGTTTGCACTAGATATAATATCCATTAACTGTTGATAATGTTATTATATTTTAAAAATGAAACCTCTCCATAACACTGTCCCCTACCCTTGGGCTTTAGGATCATGTTGTTCACTGTTAAACTGTGGATGCCTTCAAAGACCGGCTGCATTTTTGAAAAGGTGGACTATATTTCTGCTAAATTCTTAAGGCAATTGGTTGTAGTGGATTTTAGTTGGAGGCATTTGATTGGAACATTGAGCTTTTTAGTTTATTTTTTTGTTTTAGTTGTTTAAAACTTTGAAAAAGTTTTTCCTGGATTTTTTTTTCTTTTTTTTTATACAATCTTTGCTCTTGGTCCATCGATTGGATTTCAACTCAATGCAATGGATTTAGTTGTTTTAACATAATACAATGTTGAATCCCTGTATAGTTAATATGTTAAAAATTACAAATTGGTATATGTGGAATTCCTTGTTGCACTGAATGTCAATTGCTCAAAATGGACCCCTCATTAACGATCCCTCTTGTGCTCACTGTACTCCTTAGTCCGACCTTACATTAGAGAAACTAACAGCACTGGAGAACAGCAAGAACTCCGACCTGGAGAAGAAGGAGGGCCGAATAGACGATTTGCTGCGGGTACTAATCTCATCACATTTCATCGCTGCCACTTTGCTTACAGTTTTATTTTTCAAATGTGACATTCAATGTTTAGGGTTTCTACTCACATGTTTTGATTCTGTGTTTATGTGATGATATTGAATAATCCTTTTTACGTTGCTTATTTCATGTGTCTGTTTGCATTCTGTTCCAGACAAACTGTGATCTCAGAAGGCAAATTGATGAGCAGCAGAGGATGCTGGAACGATACAAAGAACGCCTTAATAAGTGTGTGACAATGTCCAAGAAGCTGCTAATCGAAAAAGTATGTTTATCTTTCAAGAGCTGTTACTGTTATGTTTAGTGTGCTGTGTTTGAGGCAAAGTCGATCTGTAATGTTTTGGTTCATGTTTTCCTCTGCTGCTCAGTCCAAGCAGGAGAAAATGGCCTGCCGGGATAAAAGTATGCAGGATCGGCTTCGACTGGGCCATTTCACTACAGTGAGACATGGAGCATCCTTCACTGAGCAGTGGACAGATGGTTATGCGTTCCAAAACCTTACAAAGTGAGTAAATAAACTTGAGGTAGACCTATACAGAGGCCTGTACAACAAAGCAGGGTTACTGGGTTAGCAAGACAACTTCAGCCTCAACCCTGACTTTCTGGTACCATGAAGCTGGATTCTCTCTTAGCAAAGCCTGTTACTATGGTAACGTACTCTCAGAACGCCAAATCTGCTCTGAGGAAGGCTAGCTTTCAGGATTGATCTGAATACCAGAAAACGCTCCGCCCAGCAGCCAATCAGCTGTTTGGGAAACAATGACGTGCCCTCTGATTGAAGACCTGATTTATTTCAGAGGGAAAGAAGAACTTATACAAAACTACTTCCCAATAAAGAAACTAGAAAAGCAAAAATAAGTTAAAACAAAATATGTTCTTGACAAATTTAATAGTTTTCAATTTATTTATTTCTTTTTCCTCCTTTTTGGCATACCAGCCATCTACCGTTCTGTATATTTTTCAGGCCTCATTCACTGCTGGCATTCTTTTATGATTGTTATCTGAAGCTATCCTCGTTTTGCAGAATTTGTTTTAGATCAGCTGTAGTAAAATTGAATGGAAGAAATTTTTGATGTGCAACTCACAGAACACAATTTGTGTACTTGTACTCAAGAATTTATAGAGGCGTAGCTTTTTTGCAATTGTAACAGATAAAAAAATCTACAACTACAAAACACAAATGTTGCAGTGCACAAATAGTTTTGCAACAATAGTTCTGGACCATTTATATCAAAACTGAGAATGTAAAAGGTTTTTGATGTGCAACTTGTAGAACAGAATTTGTGTACTTGTACTTAAAACTTGAACAGGTGTAAAAACAAATTTGAACGAGAATGGGATTGCCTCCCCTTAAATGGAAAGGGAATGCAATTGTTGCTATGGCAAAACGGTGACTATCCACGTGTGTGAATGTAGCTCTGTGGCGCAGGGTGACATAAAATCAATCATTTTCCCTTTCTAAGCACAAATGGATACGGTCAGATAAAACAATTTCACAGAAGAACTTTCCTTTTGGAATTAACTTTTTTTCATACGCTAACTTGTGATTTTCTGCTAGTGTGATGAAGATGCAGCAAACCAGCGGAACTTGCTTTTGGTAGAACATATTTCAACCACCATTAGGTCGCTTTGACACCCACTGCCAAATTCCAGCGAGCCTGCAATGGGGCAGAATCGATATTTAAAGGCTGAACGGTCCACTCGCCTTACCCGCTATATGGTTTGGGATGGCACTTAATGCGGCAGACCCTCTGCAGAAACATGCAAATACAGGGTTAGTGCTTAGGCCGGGTTTTGATTGGGAAACTCTATGTTGATGCCTTTTCCCAAAAAGCTCTACTTTTCTCATCTGACCAGGGGACGTTCTTCCAAAATGTTTTTGGGTTTTTTTCAAGTATATTTTGGCAAACTCCAGCCTGGCATTTTTATGTCTCTGGATCAGAAGTTGGGTCCTCCTGAGTACCCTTCCATGTTGTCCCTTTCTCATTCAGACGCCGATTGATAGTACTGGTTAACACTGTTGTACCCTAGGACTGCAGGATAGCTTAAACCTGTTTGGATGTTAGTAGAGGTCATCTATCCACCATCCATAGAATCTTTAGTTGAAATCTCTGGTCAATTTTTCTCTTTAAAGTTTGATGAAACTAAGCAGGGTACACACAGGAACTTCAGGTCTTTGGAGATGGACTCGTAGCCTTGAGATTGCCAATCTCTCATGGCAATTTTGCTTCTCAATTAATCGGACAGCTCTTTGGTCTTCTTTCTTTTTTCCATGCTTAATGTGGTACATACAAGGACACATGATTGATGTTGAGTCAACTTGAATCCCTTTTAACTGGCTGAAAGTGTGATTTAGTTATTTCCACCACCTTTTGTGTGCTACAGGAAAGCAACAGGTGCTGTTAATTAAACAAATTAGAGAAGCACCAAATGTTTTTCCAAAGGGTGCCAATACTGTTGTCTGCCCTCCTTTTAATGTTGGGTGAGGAATTATTTCCAATTTGGCTTTTTGAAAAATCTTTGAGGTATTTCTGAACATTTAGGACTTTTAGAACTTTCACCATTTTCAAAGCAGGCAGATTTGACCATTTGTCCAACTGAGTTCTGACATGGCTCAAAAGCAGGATGATTTCACTCAGACTGAAATTTTTTTTTTTTTTTTTATGATGTGTAGTGGCATCAGCTTCCAGCTTTATTGTAGCCCAAAAAATATTAAAGGGTCCAACTGAGCAGATGAAATAATGTTTTAGTGTTTATTTTTATTTGATCCCAAGTCCTCATCACTCCTAAGGGGAACGTGATTAACATGTATTCATGATTAAAATGTCACGTCATTTTGCGTCTCTTTAATTTTGCTACCATGTTCGACTTTTCATTGAGACTTGTTCTTTCTCTTTGTATTTCTGTAAGATGACTTTTTTCGCCTCTCAGGAAAAATATGGTGCTCTCTCTTTTGCATTCAAAGCTTTGATTGGTCTGCTAACTTAAACCCCTGTGAGCATTCACAGATTCATGATCAGTTTAAGCTGGATTGAGTTAGAGTTGATGACCAGCTTCGTGCTACAGCTGATCCTGATGGCCATTGTTTTGGATTGGTGCCTTGAGTTAATGCATTAATCGCTGCTTTCTCAATTTACTATTCATTGTTTAATTTGTTAATGTTTTTGTTGTTTCACTGGAGACTTAACAAAATTTTTTTTTGTAATCATTGTGCCAGTTTTATTATCTAAATGGAGAAAGAGAAAGCAAAATCAGATTTATTTGGCCACCACATATCTGAGATCAATGAGGCTGCCAAAATAATTCCAGTTCGCCTTAAGAAAGTAGTTTATCTCATATAAAAACAAAAACTTTGCTTTGTATTGAATTTTTTTTTTGTTAGTCTTAAAACATAAGATGCATCTGTTTTGATTTTTGTGCATTTCAGACAACAAGAGAGGATTAACTCTCAGCGGGAAGACATCGAGAGGCAGAGAAAGCAGCTAGCCAAACGCAAGCCGCCCTCCATGGCCCAGACGCCGCCTCCCAGCCTGGAGCAGAACAAACGCAAAAGCAAGACCAACGGGGCAGAAAGCGAAACGTACGACACATGTTTTTTATCTGCAGTGACATCGATATTCTCTTGTTTTAAACACATCTTCATGTTTGATTTATGACACAATTTGTTCTGTCTTATCTCAGGTTATCGCAAGCGGAGTACCATGAGCAGGAAGAAATTTTTAAACTCAGATTAGGATATCTTAAAAAGGTAATTTTATGAAGTACCTTTTTTTGGCAGATTTTTTATTTTTTTATCTGCCAAGAGTTATGAAAACCATCTTTTTAGTACTTGTTCTCTTGCAATCTAACTTCTTGATCTATTGTTTGTATTTGCAGGAGGAAGCTGAGATCCAGGCGGAGCTGGAAAGGTTGGAGCGAGTGAGAAACCTTCATATACGGGAGCTGAAAAGGATTCACAATGAAGACAATTCCCAGTAAGATTTCTTATTCGAACATTGAAAACAAAATCATACTGTTTCCTTTTTACTGACCGTTTTCTATTTTATATACGTTTTAATTATATTAGGGATGGGACGATTTATGAAAACCATCCGAACCGTTCGGTTCGACTGTCTCCGTTCGTGTGTGTTTCGTTCGGTTCATGCGCTGCTCCTTTTTCTCATAGGCGAAGCGTTTACACTCCCGAGCAGAAGGTGGCGGTACTGCGACCAAAGCCAACCACCAGTAGTAAACAAGAAGAAGAAGAAGTGAAGCAGCATAGCCGGGTGTAGCAGAAAAAAAATCAGTTGTTGTTGAGAATTGTGTGGGTATGGCGAGTGGGAAAGAACAGGCGTTGGAAGACGCGCCAGCAGCACTTTATAGGTCTGCTGTATGGGACCACTTTGCATTTAGAGTGACCTACGATGACGGTGGAAAGAAAGTTGTGGATAAAAGTGCAACACGTTTTGTTTATGCTAACAGCAACATGTCATGCTAACCCCGAAATCCCTCATACTCCGCCAGCAACCCCCGCTGCGCTCCAGACCGGCTGCTCAAAGCAAAGCCTGCATCCTCCATTGTGGCTCCCGTCCGCTCCCCTCTGAGTCCCTTGGAGATGGTAGAGAGCATGCGCAAGATGATTAAATTCAAAGCAGCAAAACATACAGAAATTATCCAGGGTTTCCGCGGATCATTTAAAATAATTACAATCCATTATTTTTTGGTGTTTTTTTTTTATTAATTTCATAAATTTTTATGGGATTTCATAGTAACAATCATGTACCGAACCGAAAACCGTGACCACGAAACCGTGAATCGAACCGAACCGTGGATTTTGTGAACCGTTCCACCCCTAATAAATATATATATTAGATCAAAATCAATTAAATGAACCCAGACAAGCCATGTTCCTTTTCACTTGGATTAACACTTCTGACTGAAGACTGATTTTTTTATAGCCTATCAGTCTTTTTCCATTTGCCATTTTAATCATGTTTTTGAATCTGTACTCGCATCATTCATGTGGGCTTTATTTATTTGTTGTTACAGTGATGTAAAAAAAAAAAAAAAAAAAAGGATTTTTCCACAAACATTGCTGTTTTTGTTATTCAGTTTCCTTAATGTGTCCTACTTGCAGTGTTTTCACCCTTTCCTCCTTTTTTTTTTTAGATTCAAAGATCACCCTACACTAAATGACAGATACCTGCTACTCCATTTGCTTGGGCGAGGAGGTTTCAGTGAAGTTTACAAGGTGAGAGAAGGCATTTCCTTTCCTAAGCTTCAGAAGGAAAGGTCACTCAAGATGCATTGACTTCCTGTCTTTCTTAATCCCCTCCACCTTTTTTATTTATTTATTTATTTTTAAGTGGCTTTTTCCCCTGGCTTTAAAACGATCAGAAATGTTCTCTCTTTGTTTAAAACACCCATTTTCTTCTTCTTTATATATCAGAGCTGTGCTGTGCATTCTTTTGCTGGTTTTACAATATGTTGAAGTTAACATTTTGTGGTTAATCATGAGCCAAAATGTCAGAGTTCCAGGAATATGCTGTCAGCACATTTATGATTAATGAACGCAGCCGTTTTAATGTGAGGAAAGGGTCTCAGTGCAGCTAAAGCAAAACAAAGCCATCTGTACTTTCTGTCTAACTTAACCAAAGCCTTTTTTTTTTTTTTTTTTTCAGGCCTTTGATTTAACGGAGCAAAGGTACGTGGCCGTTAAAATCCACCAGTTAAACAAGAACTGGAGGGATGAGAAGAAGGAGAATTATCACAAGTGAGTGTTTTAAATAACTTACATTTTCTATAGCAATAGACTGTCTAGAACCAAGGATCCCTATGCAGTCTTTAAATAAACCCTGAGGTATAAATGTTTGAATGATTCTGAAATCTAGATAAATAAAAGGAAAATAAAGATGAACATTTATAAAAAAATTTACTCTATCCCATTGCCTGGATTTCTTTAATGTTTTTTTGTTTTGTTTTTTTCTTACTTCTGTCCTTTCTTCCTTCCCCGACTACTTTCATACATTCTCTCTTGCTTTTTGTGTTTAATTCCTTTGCTGGGTCCTTCCTCCCCTCTGTTGTATCCATTTTTCTTGCCTTATATTCTTCCTTTTTCCATATGTTTTAAAATGTCTTTCCTTCCCTCTCTCCTTTCTTCCTTCTTTGTCCTCTTTTTAATCAGGTGGGTTTCCATCAACTTTTTCTTATGCACATTTTAAGTATCACATCAGCAAAGTTTAATGGAAACGGGCAAATTTGGAAAAAACTCCCCTAAATTCACAAAAAAAGATTTTATGCTGGCTTGATGTGGTTTTTGCTTTTGTGAGATCTGTTGATCATCCGTTTCTGATGTCTGCGTTTTCCCGGATGTTCCTGTTATGCCCGTAAACATGGCTGGAGGCAACATCCCAATTACTTGACATTGTAATGTAGGAACAACTTACCCGATAACAACACATAGATTAAAGCTTTCCTTCATTACTGACCTGTGGTTCATGCTAGATCGGAGCCTCTACTTCTGTTTATTATAGGCGCGCGTGACGACGTAATGTGGACAACAACTTACGAGAGCATTACGCTTTGCTGTGCTTGTAATTTGCTTTAAACTAAATGAAAACCCTGCAGATTGGCATTTAATTTTTTTCTAACTTTTAAAAGTTTGCTGAAAATTAGCATTTTATTTGGAGGGAAACATGGCTACAAATTCTACCCCCTTTGTTCCCTCTTTCTTTTATACTTCTTTGAGTTTTTTTTTTTAAATTGACAATCTAGCTTTCAAAATGACCCTGGAAATATGTTCATTATATTTACCTGAAATTTATAGAGAAACACTGTAATGGTTACTAATTGGAGTTGAAGAAGTTCGTTCTTATTGTTTTGTTTTGGGTTTTTATTTTTTATTTTCAGACACGCCTGCCGAGAATATAGAATCCATAAAGAGTTGGATCACCCACGGATAGTTAAACTCTATGACTACTTTTCACTTGACACTGACTCGTAAGTCAACAATAGTTGAATTAGTCAGTATTTTTATTATTATTAGTTCCGTCAACCAGTTTGAAAACTGCTTAATGCCCTCTGGTTTTGTTGGATCAGGTTTTGCACAGTGCTGGAGTACTGTGAAGGTAACGACTTGGACTTCTACCTGAAGCAGCACAAGCTTATGTCGGAGAAGGAGGGCCGCTCCATCATCATGCAGATCGTCAACGCCCTCAAGTACCTCAATGAAATCAGACCGCCTATTATCCACTACGACCTTAAACCCGGTCAGTCCACAGGCTTTTCTATCCTACTTTATTTAACAAAATAAATATATATAATTGTTTGGTTTTTTTTGCTTCTGTGTTCTTTGTTGTATTGATTTGTATTCATGGTTTATAATCCCCAAAGCTCTACTGATCTATACATGTAGGCACAAGTTAACAGCAGAGGCATGTGAATAAAATAAGTTAATTTGTGTGGTAAAATTCACCACTGTCTAATTATAGTCTAAGAAATGTATGGTAATGTTTGTAACCCTTGACAAGACTAAGTTCAAATTAACATACAGAAATGTATATAATCCAATCCAAATAAGAAGTCAAATTAAATATATATTACTCTCAAGCATACAAATCTGTTTGCAAAAATTGTTTATAAAGCTTCCTTTGGTTCTTAAGCCATTGATTTTGCAGCAGTCCCTCCTTCTAAGCTTTAGGTGATGGTAAAGAGGAACAATTCCCCCTTATGAATAAAAGACCACAAAAGGTAGTGGCGCAAGTGTTCAGGCCCTCTGACAACCATCAGTAGTAATACAGATGAAATGTCTTACACAAGGTCATAGACCCTCTGCTTGCAGGACAAACTGCTGCATCCTATGCCACTATCCCCCCAATGACATGCAGGAACATGTTGAATCTCATGATCGAAACATAACATTATTGCCACCTGGTCAGTGTGTAGCAGTTTTCTGTCCGAAAAAGGGTGAAAACAGGAGGAAAGTACAATTTGATGTGGTCCAAATGATGCAGTCTGTTAACAGCACTCTGAATGCTGTCACCTGCAGCCATGAGTGTGTTTCTCTATAGAGGAGTTTCTAGAAAATCTATAGAGGAGTTTCTAGAAAATCTTTTTCTTTTATGTGGTTCAGAGGAAGATAATGAGAAGAATTTTTTTTTTTTTTTTTTTTTTTTTTTTTATGACGAGTGGGCTCTCCTGAAAAATTGTCTGTCTACCATGTAAAAAGGGAGATTTCAGGCATTCATTGGATTGGTAGTGAACGACAAGTCCTTCTTTCAGAGAATATAGATTTGGTGTTTAAAATGTAATTAAGCTACTTTATATTCAGGATTTGGTTAAATGGCATGGCAAAACCAGGTGCATTGTCTATAGAGGGCGTAAAGCAATAAAAAAAATGTTATCACTGATCACGTTTTTTTTTTTTTTTTTCTTATCCCTCATTAGGTAATATCCTGCTTGTGAACGGCACTGCCTGTGGTGAGATTAAGATCACAGATTTTGGCCTGTCCAAGATAATGGATGACGACAGCTACAACCCAGTGGATGGGATGGAGCTGACTTCACAGGGAGCGGGGACATACTGGTAAGATTGGCTCCTACACCGCTAAACTGCGCCAAAGTTGGATCAGAAATTCATTCAGCTTTGTGGGGAATCAATTTAGGAAGCCATTCAAAAGATCCTGGAAAATACAAATATCAAACTAAGGGGCACGATTTTGAGGAAATGCTGAAAGTTGGTGTGTGAAAAATGTATGCTTCTCCGTTTTTAATCATATAGCGCATAAAGAAAGCGACATTAGGAAATTATTCAAGGGTAACTCTTGATTTAGTCACCAAAAACATGTACATCTAAAATTAGACAGTTTGCATAATGTGCTTGGTAAATTAGTTTTAGATTAAGATTGTTCTTTACTGATGATAATTGAGTTTTTCATCCTTGCTAATGAGGCAAACCGAGGGCATAAAGAGGAAAAAACATTGCATTTACAAATGTAAGTTTTATGGGCTGTAATTTATACAAGTCATCTCTTACGACGAATGAAGTTAGAAAGAATTGATGAATCCCCAGGTGTTAAAGCTATCACAGAATAAAGGTTGTACATAATAAATTAAGAAAATATTTTTTTTTGATATAGAAAAATAGTTACTCCTTGGAAAGCAGATTAATGAATTTTACAGAACATAAAGCCAGTTGCTTCGCTTCCGTTACAAATATGCCCAAAAATGTATTGATATTCTGAAAAGGCAAGGTTTCCCAATTGTAGTATTTGCATTGAATACCAAATACAGTTAAATCCATTTGTTGATGAGATACCTCTGAAGGGAAAATGGCGGCAGATACAAATGCATGAGATGTATCCACATTTCCGTGGGTGACATTATCCTCTAATTACCTTCTGTCTTTTTTCTTAATCTTTTTATAAAGCAGAAAGGGCCAGCTGAAGATCACACGACGTGTGTGATGTAGAAACTGTTTGTTTGAAAAAAAACGAAAAAACCAACTCATCGTAGTATTGAACACATTTTATCGAGGAAAAAATTTATTTATTTTTATTCTCAAAATTGCAGAGTTTCCATTGAGGCAATTTATTTTCATAATTAGAATTTGTCCAATTTGATGGTTAATGGAAATGCAGCTACTGTCTGGTTGATGTGTTACTAACCCCTATTTGATAACATCAACCTGCCTTCCAGTGGGGTTAGCCAGGGCGTGGTCTAGACGTAAAAGCTAGCTTAACCATACTGAAGCATGAAGAGTGATACAGCACGGTGCTAGAGGTTAATCCACTGATGAACCTCTGAGGGTCAATGCCTGAGCTACTTTGTCCAAGGCGCGGTCTAATGATGCCTGAAGTTAATGCTGCCGAGGGAACAGAAAGAAAACTAACTCTGGAGGTTTGTGTTTAAGTGAATGGCTTTTACACCTAAACCCAGGGCTTTGATGATGGAGGCTTGTACCAGCATGTGCCATTTGAACCAGTTGGAAAAGGAAACTGTAAAAGCAACCTAGGGCAGCCCGAGGTGTTTTTGAGACTGATATTGCAAAACTATCACATGAAAATATAAAAAAACAACATGCACACTCCATGAACCCAGCTTCTACAATGCAAAATAAAATTATTTTTGTGTGAGTTTTGTTTGTATGAATAACTGTGTAAATGTAGAGGGGTGTGGAGGCGATCAGCCTTCGTATCAGCGGATGTAAAGAATGTTTTTCGATTGTTTCCTGCTGGAAACTGATCTGTTGCCCCAAGAAGCTTGTCAGGAGAGGAGAACAAGAAAAACCTTTTCTAATAGCTGGCTGAGTTAAGCTGGACTTAATAAAAAGACAGTAGAGGAGGGCACTGCTCTCCACATCAACTGACTTGATTGCCGAATAATTGCAAAAAGTAGTTACATTTAAAAAGAGGAGTTTTAAATGCCGAGACATTAACCCTTTATTTATCTTCTTTCGCTTCTGATATCACGTTTGGTTTGGGAGTGGCTTCTTAATAAAAGGAAAGTCTGTCGTTTTCCTGAAAAGTCTGACTCGAACTGTAGTCCCCCAAACGCTGTAATGGCTATTAAACCTTTTTAAATCCACTTAACTATGAAACTTTATTTCTAGATATAAAAAATACTTCAGCAATAATTTTTTTGATTGTCTTACTTATGGGGTTGTGAAGTTGGTGATCTCCCCAATGATTTTTCAAATCATCAGAGGGAAAAACAAAGAACATTTTTTTTTTGTCATAAGCTGTAAGTTAATGGTTATCAGTCAGGTTTTTATTAATGTCTAAATATGAATAAACTTTTCCATCTTATTGTAATTTCACAGAGAAACATCTATTATCTTTCACATTGTCCAAGTAGTTGGAGACACAAGGCGATTGCAGGTTTGGAAAAAAAAAGTATTTATTTTTTTATGTGCATTAAAACAAATTCTGCTTTCCTCTTAAGGTACCTGCCTCCTGAGTGTTTTGTGGTTGGCAAGGAGCCGCCAAAAATCTCCAACAAGGTTGATGTTTGGTCTGTGGGTGTCATTTTCTACCAGTGTTTATATGGCCGCAAGGTAGGAGTCACAACAAGATAAAAAGTCGCCATATGTTGAAATAGATTTTGAGTTCTGGAGTTGAGTTTTTATTTCCAATAAAATTGACAGACTTGGACCTTTTTTTGTGAAAAAAGTGTTTGCGTGTGTGAAATCCTCTTCTTTGGATTAGGCTCTAGGCTTCAGAAGGAAGATATTTTAACACCCTTTCTCTGCCTTTTTCTCCCTAGCCTTTTGGTCATAACCAGTCTCAGCAGGATATCCTGCAGGAGAACACGATCCTGAAGGCTACTGAAGTTCAGTTCCCCCCAAAACCTGTAGTCTCCCCTGAAGCAAAGGTATTTATCTCATTACTACACTGCCGCCATACCCAAGAGGTGTTAACTCACATTTAATAACTTTGGGTTTGAAACATCTTTTACATTTTAAGGTAGTATTTATTCTAATTTGTTTACCTGATTTTTGACGCCATTTTCTGATGTCACTGCTCAGGCCTTTATAAGGCGCTGTCTAGTCTACCGAAAGGAGGACCGCATCGATGTTCACCAGCTGGCCAGTGATCCCTTCCTAATGCCCCACATCCGCAAATCAGTGGCTTCCTCAGGCACCTCCGGCACGGCCGTGGCGTCTACGTCCAACTCCTCTAACAACAGCTCCTCAAACTGAGCTCATGCCTCTTAAATGACTGACTGGATCATCTGATGGGACTGGGAGGCCTCCCCTGTCCGATCTCGCCTGCCCATGGAGAGTTGAAGGGAAACTGTTCAGCTGACGGCGTGGGGTGGGTGAGAAGTCATGGAGCGGTTGGGAATGGAAACGTTGGCTCTCCCCCACAGCCCTCTGGTGTCCATCCACCCCTGCCCACCTGCCTTGATGCTCAGAGGGCCGACATTGTTCTGGGGGTCAAAGCCCTGGATGACTCACACAGCAAAGGGATGAGCTTCGGCACTGTGTTGGTTGGGTTTGGTGTTTCCAGTGTTTCTTTTCAGCTTAAAAAGAGGGGGAAAAAAAGGTCAACTGCTTTAGCTTTGAGAGAGGGACAGGACTGCCAAAGGCCTCATATTGACATGCTCTCTCACACATACACCCGTGCATGAGCTTCTCTGGTCCAAGGTAGTCAAACCATCACCAGTTGGAACATTTTGGTTGCTCTTATCTCCCTGAAGCTAAACAAATGAGTAAGTAAGCCAGTCTGGGCTCCAACTGTCTGGATCCCTTAAAGCCCGCAGCGTCGTCATCTTAATCTTTTTAAACTTTGCCATTTTAAGAGTTCAGACCCATTTAGTTTGAGATGATGGATAAAAGAACCGTCGATCTCATCGAGCCTCTCCTTCATATCTACGGTAGTCTAACTCCTGTGACCAAAGCCTTTATCTTCCAGTTGGTGGCAGTGTTCACCTGTTTTTATAATGAATGGTTTTAGAGTTGTGCTACTTGACAGAGCAGAAGCTCCTGAGGTTTGCCCCCCCATGACCCACCGAAGCATTTTTTTTTTTTTTTTATACAAATGGGGAAAAAAATTTTTTATTTAGTTCATTAAGAAAACTGCAGTTTTCCTGTTGCCTTTATTGAATTGTTACAATTTTTGGCGGGTATCCCACCCCCACCCAGCCTCTGCTCCCTCTTTCCCTCCATAAACAAATATTTATTTAGGTATGTTTGAATTTTTTTTTTTTTTTGGCCAATAAAATGCAAGGGACTGGTTTACCTACTAGTACTGTTGGGGGGAGATTGGGCCTTAGCAAACAGTTGCATAAATCATTAAATACTGTTGGTTAAACTGTTTCTTGTTCTGTTCTTCTTCATTCATTAGTCTGATAAATTAATCCTTTTGGACCAAAGCTGGTTTATAAATCGCCATTGTCAGCCTTAATTACACTTCTGACATAATGTCATTAATTAATCTATCATTACAAGCTAACATTCACTTAACTCTCATCTGTCTTTTATCTAGGCATTATTACTAGAACTACTTTACAACTGAGGTCACAAATTAGAGCTGTAATTTCAATACAATTTGTTTTTATATAGCTTTTTATAGAAAAAATACTATTTCTTGTTTCCGGTAATGTTCATACTGTGTAATATTAAAGAAAATTGTGGTGTAACTCCCTAATAGAATAATAGATTTTATGTATAGATGCCTATCTCTTCACTTAAGGTCACTATGCATAGTTAAAAAAAAAATACAAAGCTTGGTGACAATAGAGAAGGTCCTGAACAAGAGTTTAGTTTCTTTATTCAAAGTTTTTAGGGTGGGAACATCCTAATGTCGTTGCTTCAGTTTTTCTAGAAACAGTTTACAGTTTGTTAAAATGTTAGTTAAAAAAAAGCTTGTTGGCAGAAGGAACTCTCATTGTTTTTGTGGTTAAGGAAAAAGTTCAATGTTTCATTCGCGTTTGAACCCTCGATGTCAGGGGGGAAAAAGTGCAGCTGGCCTGACTTTCCATCCTTATATGCATTGAGATAGCACTGAAGACTATTTCATCTTAAAGAGAAGCTTTCCTTAAAACATGGAGAGGTTAAATTGCTGTGAAAAGGGCCTAACACCCATAACTGTAACCTCCAGACCTGTGTATTCCTCAGGGACTTGTATTCCACTCATGCAGAGAATGTTCAGAACAAGCATGTGAATGCATCCCTTTGGCTTTTCTACTGAGCGAAAGATTCTTAAAGCTTAGTCTTGATGTTATGAAGCTTTACAGATGTTTTGAGCAGCTTCTAACAGTTTAGGCACAACTAGGTAAAGATTTCTATGTTTTCCAGCATGATGGACCACAGCCACCCAAAATGGCTGAAATATCAAAGCAATAAAATTTGGATCTAAAAACTGTTGGGTGACCCAGGGAATATAAAGGATAATTTCACTCCTGTTACACTTTAAAATCTGTTTCTGTTTATATGCATGTCCAGTAGGTGGGGATCTGGTGTCTCTCAGATTTATTCTATAACAAAATCCTGCCATGCTTTAGAGATGGTTATTAGAGTCAATAGTTCACAAATTTGGTGTCTTTAAGGTAAAGGTTTATTGCAGTTTCGAAAATACTTTAACATTCAGTTTTCTCTATTTCCCCCCTTTAGTATTTAGATTTTTTTGAATTTTGTCCTGATCCATTCAAATATTTCAAATCACCACGTTGTAATCAGAGAAGGATAACTGGAGTAAACATTGTTTTTCAAATTCTTAATAAATTTAAGATGAAATAAGACTATTCCTACTATCCCAACTATATGGTAAATTCTAATAACTGGCTGTTGTACCCACAGCCTCAACAACTACCATCATGTCTTTATGATAACTTCTAATCTGAGATTAAGATTGTTGCTGTAGCGCTCTCCTGCAGAACTGTTAAGAATCAGTCACACCTGCAGAGTTGTCAAAAGTATTCATGTCTATTACTCAAGTAGACCTGTAAATCCTACTGTTTAAAAACACTTTTGTAGAAGATGGTGTTAATCTTTTCACTCAAAAGGAAACATTTTAAAGCTTCATAAACTAAAAGTAAAGCATGAAAAAAAAGTTTACATGCTTTAAACCTCATACTGGTTACTACTATTAAAGGAACATTTTTCTACAATTCTGGATTATAACTTCCTCATACTTAATTTTCTCAGTTTTGTAACAAATGACAACACTGTCAAATTTAACTTTGCGTCATCTTGGAAAAACTGTTTTAGTATGCTCCAACAATAAATTCCAAAAAACTTTCTGGATATGACAAATTATTCAGATTTTTTTTTATTTAAATGCCAACAGGATATATTGAAAAGGACCTAAAATGAAACAAACCTAACAAGTTCATTTTTTAATGTAAGGAGTAGAAAATTGAGATGGTTGTTAAAAAAAAAGTAAGGAGAAGTAAAAGGTTAATAAATTTCTGACCAATAACAGCTCCCAAAAAAGGTTGGCAAGCCGATATATTCTTTAGCAGCTGTTATAGGATTATAATACACCTTTGATGTTTCAATCTTTTTTTTTTTAAATATCTGTGAAATGAAACTTGTTTTAATTGGACAAAATAATGCTCTCAAATATAAATGAAATGTTGTGTTGATAGTGGCTAAATATTAGACCTTTGCAGAAGTAGATAGAGTTGGTGGTTGAGATCGGTGGGGAAATTCTGGTGTTTACAGCAGCAGAAAGATCATAGAAAAAAAATTGTCACACAAATGTGGACCTTACAAAACTGTATAAGAAAAATAGTGAATAGTTAAAAGATAAATGATAAAATGCTTTTATCATGATAATACATAATACTTTAAAGTGTTTTAACAATATAACAACTTTGCACCTGGAAAATAAAATGACCAATATACAGCTATCTATGTTTTTACAGTAATGGATATTTAAAAATAGCAGCAACATCAGAGATGTGCAAAATGACAGCATGCAACGTGTTATTTAACTAAAGTAGAAACTCAAGAATCAACATTATGTAATCATCAATTTACGTTGTTGGGAACAGTGGTGGTTATAAAGTCTTGCAGCTGCTGGGAGGAAGGATCTGTGATAATGCCCCCTGGTGCATTTAGGGTATGATAGGCTAATATCCTTAAATTCAGGAAATCAGGGCCAATAAATTGGTACAACACCATTTTCTATCCTGCTATATCTGGGGTCTCCAGAGCTACAATCAGCTCTGGTTTATGTAATGCATCAAAAAAATTATATTTTTTGTTTCGTGGTTTTGTTCTGTGGCCCCATTCTGGCCCTCCTGGTAAATTTAGTGAGAATAGTCACTGATTCTATGGGTTGGCTGCCCAGGTCCTACAACCAGGGGTGGCCATGGCCACCATTAGCCACCCTTGTGGCCACCGCTACCATTATTTCCTTCTAATACAGATGGTGGCAACAGTAATTCTCTCAAGTGGAATATTCAAAACATTTTATTTTTTGTGGTTAATTATACACATCATTATACTAACATCAAAGATGATAAGTACAAAATTAATTCTCTTTTCAGAGCTAGATTTTGTTTTTTATGGGGTAAAGAGAAAAATATGTGTCTCTTCTAGTCATCTAGGAGTCTTCAGTGAAATTAAAGATAAATAATAAATTATCAAATAATCAATTTGTGCAGATATTAGTGCTTGTAAATATCCATTTTATTCAGAATGTTTATTGATACAAGTAGGTAAGTAATGACAATGATGATTGATTTACTCCTCAGAACTCAAAACTGAGTTTTATCCACTATACCTTTGCGTCTATTTGTTAGCAAAGGCTGTAGGAAAGTATAGTTAGTCTTTATTTAGAAAATATGGATTTTTTGCTCGTTAATGTTGGAACAGTGTAGACTGACTGTGAGGTTCTGATGCCCATCTGCTTTTGTCCACCCCTTAGTGTACATTGGTTATTGCCTGGCCACCTTTATAAACATTTTCTGGCTATGCCTCTGGATCTATACTCTTTATTGGTTTAATAATCAAACACAAACAAGAGCAAACAGTGGTGAGTTCATACAGAGACGTAGCCAGAATTTTTTTATAAGGGTGGCCAGGCAATAACCATTGTACCCTGAGGGGTGGCCGAAAGTGGATAGGCACCAAAGTCTCACAGTCAATCTAAACTGTTCCAACAAGAAAATAACGAGCAAAACATCCATATTTTCTACATAAAGAAAAACTATACTTTCCCACAACCTTTGCTAACAAATAGACGCATATATTCAAACATTCGTGCTTTCTAAATAAAAGGTATAGTGGATAAAATCCTTTCAGGTTTGAGTTTTGAGTGAACATCTTTTCCATTGTCATTACTTATCTTTTATCAGTAATCATTCTAAATAAAAATTATATTTACAAGTACTAATATCTACATAAATTGATTATTTAATAATTTTTTATTAAAACAGTTATATATCTATGATTTCACTGAAGACTAAGTGACTTGCAGAGACATTTTCTCTTTACCCCATAAAACAAAATGTATTTCTGAAGAGCATGCATTCTATATTTATAATCTTTAATGTTAGTATATTGATGTTCATAATTAACCAGTGT